TGGCGGGCCCGGGCTGGGGATTCGAACCCGCCACCTTAGGTGTATGTGGCTGGTGCCTTAGCCACTTGAGCCACAGGCGCCGAGCCAAAATGTTGGAAGTATCTTCTAAAGATTTTTGGAACTCACTTAAATCTTAGCTATAGAAGTATATTAATATTAATATAAATTCTTTTTGTAATGTGTTTGTCTTCAATGTTGATTAAAATGTAATGATGATTTTTGGTGATTATTTTGCAGACCTCAAAGGAAGACCTTCTGCAGGCTGATTTTGAAGGTGCTTTAAAGTTCTTCAGAGTTCAGCTTCCAAAGAGATACAGGGCAGAGGAAAATGCAAGAAGATTGATGGAGCAGGCTTGCAATATAAAAGTAAGATTCATGGATTTATATATAATACAGGTGGAATTTGAATGCTGAAAAACATGGCAAGTTATATGTGACTCTTTTTCTATATGTTGCAGAGTTTGACCATATTCAAGGTGATATTGTGTGTGAACTAGTCTCTTCCAGACTTTTTTGTTTGGCTAGATATGTCTACTGTAGCTGTACTTTCTACAGCTTTAGTGTAAAAGTTGACAGGTTCAGAGTATAACAATAGGAAGACAAAACATTTATCTTGTAGGTGGGGCTCTAGAGTGGGCTACTGTGATAGTAGTTTCCATGACAGCAGACTTAGTATTTAGCTTTTGCCATCTGTTTTAAGATTATTTAGGACAAAGCAAGAAAAGCCTATTCAGGCAATGCTTTCATTTCTCTTTGGGACTTGGGTAGTTTCCATCTTGATCTGCCCTTTCCCATCCCACAACAGCCAAATGTCTATAGATGTGTTGGTCCATGTCATATGTCTAATAAAACTAAACAAATTTTATAAGTTAATTGAAATGAAAAACTCTATTCAGAAAGTTGTTATTAAAGTGAGAAAGCACACTTTTGAAAGATTCGAAACCAATTTACTAACGTTAATTCTTCTAACAGCTGGAGTAGGTTATCTTCTCACCTAACCACAATATAAGGATACAATTGTTTCCTAAACAAACAAACAAGGATCCCAAGTTTTACAGATCTTGCATTCTTACGGAAAGCAATAGATAATAAACAACATAATAAAAATTTATTAATATGTTAGAAGGTAATAAATAGCTGTGGAAAAAGAAAAAGCAGGGAAATATAAAGGTGTTTGAATTGGCAGGGTGAGGGAAAGTTGTGATTATTAATAGATAGGGCAGACTTCACTGAGAAAATGAAGGTGAGGAGGGGTCAGTCATGGGGATTTCAGTGGAAAGAACATTTTCAATGGAGCAACAGCCAGTTTAAAGGCCCTGAGACTGGCTCATGCCTGGTGAGTTTGACGAACAACAGGAAGGCCAATGTAGCTGGAATGGAATGAATGAAATGAGAGTAATGGGAAAGGAAGTTAAGTGCTCACAAAGAGCCAGAAAATGTAGGCCATTGTAAAGACTTAGGATTTATTTAGAATGAGATGTGGAGTCCTTGCAGGGTTTTGAGTAGAGGAATGATATGACCTTTCTGAGGTTTTTAGAGCATCATGATGGTTATTTTATTAAGAACAGACCATAGAAAAGTAGAAGTAGGAAGAACAGACAAGAGATTTTGCAGTTATCCTATTAAAGATGATGGTAGCTTGAACCATAACAGTGGAGATGGAGTTGGTGGTTGGAACCTGCATATATAATGAAAGAGAACCTGCGATATCTCATTATGTGTTAAATTTGAATGTAAGATAAAAAGAATAGTCAAGATGACTATACAGATTTTGAACTGAGGAACTAAGAGTTGCCATCAACTTATTAATTAAGCTTGTTACTTAAAATGTACTTTGACACAGTTTAGGCAACATATCCACTGTAACACTATTGTTTTGAATTAACCTATTTTAAAGTAATTTATAAATGTTAAAAATTACAGTTCAATATTAAAAGTAAATTGAGCAGAAAAATTATATTTCTTTCAAATGGGCTTTATTTTATTTTATTTTATTAAATTCATAGCTGTGTACATTAATGCAGCCATAGGGTACAGTGTGCTGGTTCTATATACAACCTGAAATATTTTTATCAAACTGGTTAACATAGCCTTCATGTCATTTTCTTAGTTATTGTGTTAAGACATTTATATTCTACATTCAGAAAGATTCACATGTACCCTTGTAAGGTGAACCATAGGTGTGATCCCACCAATCACCCTCCCTCTACCCATCTTCCCCCCCTTCCCTCTCCCCTTTCCCCATATTCTTGGGCTATAATTGGGTTATAGCTTTCATATGAAAGCTATAAATTAGTTTCATAGTAGGGCTGAGTACTTTTTCTTCCATTCTTGAGATACTTTGCTAAGAAGAATATTTTCCAGCTCCATTCATGTAAACATGAAGGAGGTAAAGTCTCCATCTTTCTTTAAGGCTGCATAATATTCCGTGGTATACATATACCACAATTTATTGATCCATTTGTGGGTCGATGGGCACTTGGGCTTCTTCCATGACCTAGCAATTATGAATTGGGCTGCAATAAACATTCTGGTATCAAATGAACTTTATATTCAAAGAGATCATCTTTCAAAGGTTATCAAGAAAAATGGACCGTGAAGTCTTCATTCTGAATTACAAACTCTTCAAAAGACATCTGCATTTCAGAAGTCTACCTTTGTTTGTTAGAGTTTGATAGTATATTCTAGTGGACTTGGTACCTTTCCTATGTTTTGTGCATGGTGAGTTTGAAAGGTAAGCTTCAGCCAGCTGATTGTTCCAGAGATGCCAAAGATAAATATTGTAAACTGGGTCAATGCTATAGGAGTCCTTTAAAATAAAACATTAATTTCTAATAAAAGCGTAGAGAATTAAGAGGTACAAGTAAGGTAGAAAGTTAAATGTTTTCAAGGGCAATCTAATAGCATTGGCAAGTCATTGAGGACAAAACCCCAGGAAAACTATGTAAAAATATGAAATGTATGGGAAAACATTTTTTTTCCATTATAATTTATGAAGTTCCTCAAGGGATGTGGAGGTAGCTAATAATTGTCAATCCAGAACCATGGGATCAAAGGGACACAGAAACTTAAAATGTTAGAAAGCAAGTTGAAAATATGATCTGAATGGACTATTCCTAGAAAGGAAGTGCTTTCTGCAACAAGAATACTTTTTTTAGACATGAACAGGCACCTAGGAATATTTTTAGAAACTTCTAATAAAGTTTCTAAATTAATTAAAATGTTTTATTTTATTTTATTTTTTAGAGACAGGGTCTCACTCTATAACTCAGGCAGGAATTCAGTGGCCTAATCATAGCTTACTATAAACTCAAACTCCTGGGCTCAAGTAACCCTCCAACCTCAACCTCCCCAAGTAGCTGGTACTACAAGTACTTGCCACTGTGCTGAATCTAAACATTTTTAATAATTTAATAATTTTTAAAATTTGTTATAGGTTTTATGTGTTCTTTTCATTATGTTGGAGAGTGACTTCTTCTTAAATGTTTAAAACAGTACCCAAAGGACATCATTTTGATTTATAACATATGATTATAGAGTGAATGACTGTGAGACACAGGTGGAAGGTGAAACTGAAAGAAGGAAACTATCAGTATATAGTAGGCAGGGATTGTGCTGGGACTAGAATGTAGGTCTCCAACCCAAAGGTTTAAAATTGCTTTTAAAACTGAAACTTTCATATTGAGATCTTGATTATATATACATATATAACATACACATGAGGTTGGGCAATTAAGTTTGAAACTCAGCCTAGAAAAAGTGGCACGTACCTCATTACTGAATATCACTATGGTTACCTTCAAAGTACTCCTTTTGGCCATCTGGTGACTGTAATGATATTCAGCAATGAGTTATATAGCACTTTTTCTAGGATAAGTTCATGAACTTAATTGTCAGGCCCATCATACAATGACAGTTCTGATGGCCATTCCAGAAAAAGACTTCCAAAATAGCTTTGAAAGATGGACTAGGGACTGGGATTGGGACATAACTTCCCAAGGGGAATACCTTGAAGGTGACCATAGTGATATGCAGCAATGAGATGTGTAGCCCTTTTTCTGGGATGAGTTTGTGAACTTAATTGTCCATACATATCTGAAGAAATACATACCTTCTCAATGTATGAGACACATTCTGATGTTTTCTGTTTTACTGCATTAGATTCTACTTCATTTTAAAGTTCTCCCATCACCCCAAGAAAATCTCCAAACCAAAGAGCTGACCACAACCCACTAAATCAATTTCATAATGGCTTATAGTTTTGAAAACAAACTAAGGCCTATCCCACTATTCCTGCTGCCTCCTCCTTTCCAATTCCTATCTATGCAGCTAGTGAAATGCAAGGTGTCACAGTGAATAACAGAAGTGCACAGATGGGTAAGGATGTGAGTCGTCACACCATCCTCATAGTGGGATATGCTGGCAGTTGGAAATCTTACGAGATGATGGATATATTGACTGAGGGTACATGTTAGAGCCCTCAAAGACAAACGTCACTACCAGCATGAAAAAGGCAAAAAAGTAGAACTCGTAATTTCTCTTATCCACAGCCTATTTAAGATTAAGGATAGGATTTCTGCCAAAAGTAATAAAGTTTTTTTCTTTTAAGACAGAGTCTCACTTCATCACCCTCAGTTTGGTGCTGTGGCAGCACAGCTCACAGCAACCTCAAACTCTTGGGCTTAAGTGATTCTCTTGCCTCAGCCTCCCAAGTAGCTGGGACTATAGGTGCCTGCCACAACACCTGGCTATTATTATTTTTTTGGTTGTAGTTGTCATTGTTGTTTGGCAGGCCCAGGCTGGTTTCAAACCCACCAGCTCTGGTATATGTGGCTGGTGCCCTAGCTGCTAAGCGACAGGCACTGAGCCTGTTTTTTAAAATTTTAAGGCTCGACGCCTGTGGCTCAAGCAGCTAAGGCGCCAGCCACATACACCTAAGGTGGCGGGTTCAAATCCCCAGCCCAGGCCCACCAAACAACAATGATGGCTGCAACCAAAAAATGGCCAGGCGTTGTGGTGGGCGCCTGTGGTCTCAGCTACTTGGGAGGCTGAGGCAGGAGACTCGCTTGAGCCCAGGAGTTGGAGGTTGCTGTGAGCGTGATGCCATGGCACTCTACCCAGGGGGATAGCTTGAGGCTCCGTCTCAAAAAAAAAAAAAAAATTTAATTAATTTGAAATTTTCAAAGTTGGTATTTATATAGAGTCATACCTTATCAGAGTAGACAAGTTTACATTTAATCACCCACCAAAATGAAGAATTTTTTTAACTTAAAAAAATTATGTATGATCAGTGATTTCAGTGAACTGACTGTTTTTAAAATAAACAGCAGTTTCAGGTAAAAAATAACTTGTTGGCCATTATGTGG